GGCCGCATTTGGCGGGCGAGATATGAATGATTTAGTTCGTTTGCGGTTCATTGGCCTCTCTAATGTCTTATCGCGATGTTCTGCATAATGCGCAGAGTAATTTTTGGCAATAAATAAGAATTTTCTGGTAGCAGGCTGGTTGGCAGTTTCCAGTTTCCAGAATTTATAAGCAAATGTCAAGCACCCCCGTAGTACTCTGACCAAACAAAATGAATCGAATGAGAGTGGGGCGGCCTATTAAGTGTTACCCCATTATTCAGTTAGATAAAGACGTGCACAGCACTGCGAACCGAACCATCTTGAGGAGTGGTAAAAGCCCAGCGAATTTCCCTTCTTTGTTGGTCATCAAAAGCGCTTCCCAGGCAATTCTTTTCTTTTTACGCTCCAGTTGTGGCTTGGCCAACACCTTCCCTCACTCCCAGCAGGTCTCCATTGTGGCAATTCACATCTCTATTATGTATCTGACCGCTGACCAATTGCGTGACCAGCTCGGAGCTGGCTTTTGGTTCAATGAACCTCAACGTTGCGTCACTGGGCCCGGCTCTGGCTGGCCTGCCTAATTATGGCAATTAGGCAGTCATAGCCAAAGAATGGGAATGCTTAGATTTAGAGTTCCCCAATTTGCATAATTTATACATATCGAAAGGCACGAAATCTTAAGACCAACTGGAAGTGGTTGGAACAGATGATGAACGATTCCCATTCACGAATCAGACTTGGAAGTGTTTAAAGATCGTTAGGATCGTTAGAGTCGAGCTGTGATCCGAGTGTGGGAAAGGCAAATATGACAGATAGAGATGTCTAGAGAGAGAGCTTCCTGTTGGAGAAACTTCACTTTAAATGCTCATCTTTGTTGGGTGTATAATCATTAAGATCTTCTCCACGAGTGGATAGTATTTTACATTCTATTCTGTAATTAAATTACAAAGTTTCGAGAGAGGTGCTAATAGTTTTTGTAGATACTCATTGAGGTTTTAATGTCTATGGAGCTTTATTTGAGTTGGGTTGCGCCATAAAAATGACACATCAAATTTGTATTGTTTTGGTTTGTAAATGAAATCATTATAAGTACACCATAGCCAAAAGGCATCATCATTCGCGATACTTCCAACAGTTTTATTGAGTTCGCACTTGTCCAAGCCTCAATCTCCGGAGAGGGTCTGGGGCTTGAAATTGAGGGGGTTTTTTTTTGGTACCGATAATTGCTTAAGGCCAAATGCAGTCATGCTCTGACCGACTCGCTGGCTTGGGCTGAGGTTGGGGCTGGGGCTGGAGGTGGGGCTATTTATTGAGCTGAGGTGTCTGGCAAGAGATGAAAAACAAACCACAAGATAATATTGGTATTCATAATGGTCAAGCATTCTTGTCTGGCAAGTCAAGGAAAAGTAAAAGTGTCCCCCACGCACAAGGACATCGGCTATGTATGGGACACATACATACACACACACATTGACACCGTCGACCACAGACTCACCTTGACAGACGACGAGGCAGTTGAGCATCATTGCAACAGCAACAACAACGGCAAACTGGGACCATGTGATGGTTAATCCTTGTGCAGTTGATGTCCTTGTTCGCCTCATTGTTGCTGTTGTCGGTTCTCCTGTTTGTCCCTGACGGCGCGTATTCCTCCATGCTGATGCTGATGGTGATGCTGATGGTGTTGTCGTTTCCACGAACAGCTTGGTCGCTCTCCTCCTCCACATTTTCGATGCGCAAATAAAACAAAAGCCAAATCAAAGCGAAAATAGTTTTGTTAGCTCCAAGACCTGCGCTTGCGTGCGTGTGCGTGTGCGTGTCCGTGTCCGTGTGCCTGTGCCTGTGCGGGATGGGATAGGTGCTACGGATGGGGGCGCTAATGATGCCCGCGACTTTCAGGTAGGTGGCTGATGGTTGGTTCGCATTTAAAATCAGATTGGAATGCTGTCCTGTGCTCTGGTTCTGGTTCTGGCTCTGATTCCGTTTCGTTTCGGTTCTTTTCTCTTCGGTTGGTGGGTTTTTCTTCTTGTGGTGTGCTGTCGCTAAATGTCGCTAAAAACTTGGCGGCAAAATGTTCTCTTATTCTTTCGAGGGGTCTGTCGGTCTCAGGCTCCGCTATGTACATAGGATGCCATGGCATTGGTGTGTCCTGGCTGAGTGTGTATGCGTGTATACATTGTATATATGTATTTACGTTCCACTGCGATTTCGTTACTTTTTTTTACATTACTTTATAACTCTAAGTTGCATAACATTTATTAATTCTGAATTTTAATACATATTTTTATAGTTGCTCTCACTTAGAAATTTCTTATAGAAATTTAAGCGAGATTATTGCACAATTCACATTTATAATTATTGTAGTTGGACTTATACACACAATTTACTTTGAGTAAACGTTTTTTTTTGTTTGGGTGTTGTTAAATAAACTATTTAAAAAACAAACGAAAAGTTTTTATTTGGGCTAGGCCCATTTCAATTAATTCGGTTTTTCGGCTCGCGCACTTTTATTTGTTGCTTTTCACACGGATTGTAAATGGAAGTAAATATTATTATTAAAAAAGTTGGTTTATTTCGTATCCGGTTTGGGGGCGGAGTGGGTTTATTGTTGAAAATTCGGTTTGGTGCGATGGATTTTTCAGCGCCAAATGTTTGTGGAGGAAAATGAAACGGAAAAAGCATTCACGCGCGTCAGGGCAAGGTAAAAATCACGAAAGTCGAGTCAGACTGAATTCAGAATTCCAATAGGAAGGCGCGCGTCGTGGTATCTTTCGTGGTCGGTATTTTATGTATTGTGCGCCGCTGGTATTTTTATGCAGCGCTCAAAATGTCGGTATGCTGGTCCTGCTCGGATTGATTTTCCGCGGTTGTTGAATCATTTTTGAAATGAATTAAATAAGTTAATGATTGAATAATTATGAATTAAACCCGAGCAGCAGTGAGTAAAGACTATTTTGTAAGATATGAATATTAGTTTATAAGATTTGAATATTAGTTTAAGAGTTACTCATCGATAGTATTATAAGAAATACCAATGTATTCGATATATCGAATGGCGGTTAAATTCAAATGGTCAGGAAGAAGCAACGCATAAAAAATGCTTTTTATTTGCATTTTAATGTCCGTTTCGCACTTTGTCATGCCATGCCGCAAACCGCAGAAGCTACAAAAACATGAGAAAGGAATTTCGGGAAAACATGCAATGCAAATGACTTCACACACGAACAGAGACTGCCTCTGCGAACTATTTGAATGTGTCTGCGTGTGTGTGTGTGGCTGCCACAACTTTAAACAGTTGCATTTGCGGTCTACTGTTTTTGCTCTTGCAGCCACAAAATAATCCATTTAGTTCCTGTTTGCTGATGTCCTGTGTATATTTTATAAATGCGTGGCAGCAAAGTTACCCGCAAAAGCCAACAAAGTCTTCTTTTCGCCAATGATTCAACTGAATGTTGACTTTAAAGGTCTGTCTCCCCACAAATAAGAAGCCACTTCGACAGCCACAAAAAATACTTAGACGTCTAGCAAAAACTAATTTTAAAGAAATGGCGAGCAGCGTAGCATTTTAATTCGGAGTGCGCCAAGACCTGACCGGTCAAAGCCCAGGCTGATGGCTGAAGAGTAAGAAATGAAATTCGATTATAGGGCAGGAACAACAGAAATGGCAGCCGCCTCACGAAGGGGGAAGGGAAGGTGTTTGGACCAGGGTCGGACAGTGGGAGGAGATACGGCGGCCATGACAGCATATCCGGCAGAATAGAAAGAGCAAGAATTTTACTACGAGCGGAGGAACGAACCAGGCGCGTAAACACTGCAAGTATTCCACGATGCCCCCGAAACGGGAGTGGAAGTGGAAGCCGCGCATGGAAGTCTGCACTCGGCGCATGTCCACTCACACAGAGGCAGAGTCAGAGTCCTGTACATAGGATGTCACAATTTACATGCCGGCATGCGAGTACCAACAGCAAAACAATAGACCCCTCGCCCAAACCCCCCAAATATGTACATATATCAACAGAAGGTCAAAATGGGCGTCCAACTTTAAATCTTCATACAGCAGACTTTTATATTATTTTTGTTAACACTATTTTAGGTATATATTAAAATTAATGATTATTTTTAAGCCCCGAATGAAGTATGTATATCTGTATTTTTGGGGACGGGTTCCTCTTTTAAAAAAGACTGCCGTTAGATTTCAACTTTAAAATAGCGCTACATGGCGGAAATTTAAAAAACTAAACTGATCAAGACGCGTTAAGAAATTGGCTTAAATATCGTCTTTGCCGATAGTAGAATATCGAAAAAGGATATATTTTTCCTAAATAAATGAATTGATAGGATCAGGGTGACCGTTTACGTTATTTCTAATACTTTTCGGTCATTTGTTAGGTCAAAATTGAACCGATGGTATGTTTACGGTATATCGGTATATTTCTGTATATAAAAACGGTATAAAAAAAAGGTTTATTAATTGGATAAAATTGTGCGGGCATGGCATGTTTTATTAAGCTAATAATATTCCATGAAATATCAAAATCGAGGAATATATATAATGGAAGTTTAATTCGTCAGTATATTTACGGTATATTTTGAACATGAGGCGGTATGTTTTGGTATATTTCTGAGGGCCAGGCGATATAATTTATCGACTTTTGCTACACTGATTTTGAATAGTCTATACAAAAAGGTATAGACAACAGGCGAAAACAGCCAAGGTGCATTGAAAGGTTCGTACGAACCTCACCTCGCGTGTGAGGACAATGTACCTTGCGGACCAAATCGACTTCAAGGTAAATTAAGATATTAGGCGAAAGGGGTGGATTTTTCCTTAAATGCGATGCATATTCTGGACCATGTTGCCTGTTGTCCATACCCTCCCTTTCCTTCTCTTATGTAGTTACCGTGTAGTTGCCATGTAGTAAATTGTGCAAATGTAAGCAAACGCAAAAAAAAACAAACACACAGCTAACCAAGAAAATTTTATAGAATTACAAAATTGTTTGTAACCAATATAAAACGAAATATACATAACGAAGTGCGAAAAACAATGAACTAATGTAAAGAAATAGTGCGAGTACTCCATTTAGCGTGTTCCCCGCGTGGAACTACATTTTTTTTCGTTTCCCTCATTTTGTGTAATGGTAATGTGCGCTTGTGCTTGTGTGTGAGAGCGAATCGAGTAAGTACCGACACATCGACACACCGACAGAGACAACGACTCGACAAAAAAGGCGACGGGACAAAAACAACAAGCAACGCCTCGGCGCAGGAAAAACTGAAATTTGAGTCAAAACTCAGTAGCAATTTTTTGGGGATACAAAAACACAACAGCCCTAGCCTTGATCGGAAACTCAACTCAAACACGAACGAATTATTTCCTAATTGTAACTTGATTCTCCTGTAAAATTTGAGCAAACGTTTTTTTCTTCTTCTTGCAATTGTAGAAAAAAATTACCGTGAAACTTAGCAGTAGCTACATTTTTTGAAAATATTTCCGTACGTAAATACTTGTTCTCAGTTGTTGGTGCGAATGTGCGTGTGAAACTCGCGTGTTTCGTCCATACCTACATGGAATATTCGAAAAATATTCCGGGTGAGCACACGAGTCTGACGACAGAGAAAACCGCAGCAGAGACAAACACGGCAAATCCCGAGTTGGGCGGAGGAGCAGCACTTCCACACATTACGCCCCACATTGGGGCTTGGCAGTAGCTGTATCCGCCGTAGCAGCGGAAAAACGCAGCGGCAGGAGCAAGAGAAGCGGACGCAGAGTCGGTACGGGAAGCGGTAAGCGCAATCAGTCCCATAGAAAAAACACACACACACACACACACCACTTAGATAAATAATGCTTGTTTTCTTAGTGTAAATAATTTGTCATAGTTATTATTTTTTCTTAAGTTTTCGCTACGCCTTTGGGAGCTGTTGTTCCCTTTTGCTTTCCCACTCGCACACATATGCACACACGAACAACACACACACGCATGTACGCCTCTTCCTCTATCTCCCTCTCTGATGCATTGTCAGCAGTTTTCAATCGGACCGAACGGTGGCTTCCAATCAGAGATATGTGCTCTGTTCTCTGTTCTGTTCTGCACCCACACAGACCCCAACTGGTTTTTGTTTATAAACAAAGAAGAAACAAGTGAGAATTCCGCGCAAGCAGTTTTCGTTTTTGTTCTTGATAATGCAGCGAGTAGAAAGGCAAAGGCCAGGCCCCGTGAAACTCTCTGTGGCCAGCGTCTTGCCTTCTTCGTTGGGGAACAGGTTTTCCCCCGTTTTCCCGTCTGCATTGGGCCCAAATGAGGTGGTTGCACTGTCAGATGGTTGTTGGCCCCAAATGCCATGCATTTTCTAGGCCAAGAGTAGATGGATACCACCATTACAGTGGGCCCTGCCTCACAGAAATGCAAATGCTGTTCATGGCCAATACTTTTACCACTCGGTGGCAATCTTGACTGTTGATTGCATGTGGGCCGTGGAAAGTGTTGCACTGCCAAACAAACAGGTTGGGGCTGCTCCCACGCCCGTCGCGGGGGCTTCTTTTATTAGCCGCTTCTTTGTTCAAGTTTGGTTTTTTGTTTTTTTGTTTTTTTTTTTTTTTTTCTTTTCGCTGCTGTGTGCGCCACCTGTTGTTGTGTGTGTCATCGCTTAAGACCGCACCGCTCTTTGCCTAGCGACACTGGGACGTGCCACAGCGACAACTGTTTTTCCATTGATAAAACACGCAGATAAGGCACTGGCGAATGCCAGAGCTTTGACCATCTTCGATCGGCGGTTTTGGATATTTTCACGCCCCGCTAGAGAATGTGTGACATCATTAGCCAGCCAATTGATGATGCGCCATTCAATTGAGAGGCAATTCAGTCGCCCCAAGAGAGAGAGAGAGATGGAGAGAGAACATATGGTTTAACTGCGTTAGTCATAAGCGGGAACAACAGCAAACAACAGCCAGGTTAAATTTGCATGTAATGCCGCTTTTTGGGTTGCTTTCTTTCTCCTTCCATTGTCACCCACCCCACCCACACACACACACCCACTCACAGACAGACGAATGCATGCCAATACACGCTTTTTACAATAATCTGCAGACCATCATCCTCGCATTTTCATTTCCATTTCCATCTTACTAACATAACGATTTGTTGTACATTTGTTCTGTTCCTGGCGTGCCGCGCTGGCCGGTGCTTTACTTTCTGTGTGTCTGTGTCTGTGACTGTGACTGTGTGCTCTGCGTGAATGCGTGCGTGCAGATCCTGCGAAGGTCCTCCCATGTTCCTGCAAACGGGAGGGGGTGGGAAGGGAACCAGGCCACAGTCAATACACCAGCAGAACCACAATCACCACCAGACGGCGCATTCGGCGCACCACCATCAGCTCCACCAGCAGCAGCAAGCGGTCCAGCAGCAGCAGCAGCAGCAGCAACAGCAGACGCGGAACACACTGTTGCATCACCCTTCGACGCTGCAGCAGCAGCAACAGCAGATTCCCCAACAGCAGATTCCTCAACAGCAGGACCCACAGCAGGCCCACGCACTGTACGTCACCAATCACAGCAACCTTCATCCACACCAGCAGCAGCAGCTGCTGCAACAGCAACAGCAGCAGGTGGCGCAACATCACCTTCAGCAGCAGCAAATACAGCAACAGCAAACGCTATCGCACCCGCTCCTCTATTATCAGACATTCGGCCACCTCCCGGGTGGTAACGGTAACGCCAGCATTGGCGGCGGCGCTGGACTCCAATTGAGCGCCGCCGCCGCCAACAACACCCTGATGCAACATACGCACCTCCACGGGCACGGAAATGGTGTGCTGTCGTCGCCCAGTAACAACGCCAGCCTGTCGCGGGGCCTAAACAATACCGGCATGCCACCGCACTTTTCGCAGTCAGCTGGACTGATCGCAACCACCGGCGGGAATGGAGGTGGGGCCCCCACTTCGGGTTTCCTGACCACCGCCTTTTTACCATTCAATCAAGCCGCACAGATCATGGGCATGCAGCCCGTGGCATTCTCGAACGGAGCTGGCGGCGCCCCAGCAGCCGCCTTCTATACGGCAGCCGCACACTCACAGCAGAAGCAGCTGCAGTCAGCAGCCCAGCAGCAACAGCTGCAGTCAGCAGCCCAGCAGCAACAGCTGCAGTCAGCGGCCCAGCAGCAACAGCTGCAGTCAGCGGCCCAGCAGCAACAGCAGCAGCAGCTGGGCACTGGTCCAGGAGCTGGCCAGCTAGCGTACTACCCCATCATGGGGAATCCGGGTACGCCCAACGGCGGCAACAATAATGTGAACACTGGCAACAACTCCCACAGGGGCATACGCCAGCGCTCGGCCACGCCCCAGCATCAGAGCTACTATGCCTATACGGTGGGAGCGCCCACAACGCCGCGTGCCGCGATGGTCAACCAATCGACGGCCGGATCTGTGGCGCCCATGATGAGCGCTCGCAACGGAGCCGTCAACGGGGCATCCCCATTTCATATACCACAGAATTTTATGACCAACCTACCCCTGGCCCCTCCGACTGGGATCAACGCAGCGCCTATGCTGACAGAGCCGCCGAATACAACACCAGGAGGTGGCGGCGGCGGCGTCGGCCTGCACACGTATAATCCTCACATGCAAACCAGCAATGCCCCACCATCACTGGCGGCCAACGTTCCGGGAGTAGTAGGACTGGGAGTCGGAGGAGTAGGACTGGGAGTCGGAGGAGTAGGACTGGGAGTCGGAGGAGTGGCAGGAGTTCCGCCTGGAGTGGGTGTGGCTTCTGCAGTGCAGAGCGTTATACCTGTAGTACCCGCCGTTGCCGGAGGAGGCTTTGCGCCCGGCCCCTCGTTGGTGGCACCGCAAGCGGCAGTTGTCCAGCCGTTGGCCATAGTCTCGGAGAAGGTTCGAGAGCGACGCCACGCCATACCCATCATACATCCGGACACCCATGAGGATGTCCTCGATCCGAAGAGTTCGGTGTTTATCAAAAAGGAACCGAACCTCGCTCCAGCTCTGGACAATGAAGTGTCGATGTGTCAGTACCAGATTCTGCCTCCCATGCTGATGGAGGTGGATGCTTCAACGTCACTGCTCTCTGTGGTGGACGGTGGGACTGGAACAGGGCCTGCGACTGCTACTCTGGCTGGCCTGATGGTGGATGAGCAGCTGCAGACATTGCAGCCGTCGCCCGAGCACATGGGTGGCCTGGTCTATGTGGATTTAGTTGCGGATCAGGGCGCCCCCGTCATGGAACCGCCCTGCACCACGGATAAGGAACAGATAAGCACCATTGTCAAGGATATACTGGCCCATTCGAGCCATGCATCCGATGATCATCTTAGCTTCTGGCAAACCACCGATGGTAAGTGTTTCCTTATCCTCCCCCTTTTTTGAGATTAGAAAAACATAAAGAAACAGAAACATAGCAAGCCTCTATTATGTTTTCGTTTTTTTTTGGTTAATTTTGATACACAAAACAAAATTTTTTCGATCAACACCCAGGGGGATATTTACCATATATTTTTGTACATTTTGCAAGTGTAATTTCAATTTACATTTGAAATTGCTAAAAACACCACAAGAGACACCAACAAAGAAACGCTAAGTTGCAACAATTCGATATTTCCAGGGTCGCAGATTGGGGCGAACACTAGCTATACAGATACTACTCGGAACGGTATGCACATGCGATACGGACTAATCGAAGGCTCTGCTTTTCATGTGTACCTCTCCCCCCTTTCAGTGGACAATGCAACGGAGACCCATGCCAGTCTGCCGATGGTCCATCAGGAGTTGAATTCAACGGAGAGCCTAGACGGAGGCGCTGGAGGAGGCGGAGGCGGAGGCGGAGGCGTAGGCGCAGACGGCTCTGGCACACAGCCTGGACTGGCCAAGGAGCAGCAGCAGCAGCGTCCCAAGTCGGCCAACAAGCAAAGTAGGATAAATCCAGACAGAGCGACTCGTGAAACTAATCAACGAATCACATTTAACAATTTCAGGCACCGCCACGCCCACATCTATAGCGAATGACGTGGCCAAGGCAGCCGCCTTAGCAGGAACGCGCATCACCATCCTGACCAGAAGCGATTCGGTGCTTTCTTCAGGACAGGAGACTGGACAGGAGACAGGACAGACACAGCAGCAACCGCCGCCTGCACAGAAGCCCACAAAATCCATTGCATCCACCGCAGCTCCGATTCCAGCTACAGCGGCAGCTTTGGTGGAGCCTTTTATTTCATCCAACGAAAAGTCGATGCAGCAGCGTCCGCAGCGGGAGTCGTCGAGCACCACGAGTTCAGGGACATCCTCGTCGGCCGCCTCCACGCCCACGCATCAACCGAAACAGACGCAGCAACAGAGGCAGCAGCAACATAATCACGCTGGAGGAAGAGCCCCAGTGGCATTCACACAGCCTTCAACGCGCATGTCGCCGGCTGTGGTGCTGCTTACGGGCGCCACGACCACCAACACGACAAGCAAAAAGAATCGCAAGGTTATGAAGCGTGCAAAAGAGATGGAAAAGAAGAAACTGATCAAACCGTCACCATCATCGTCCACAAACTACAGCAGCGATCAGAGCCAGAGCAGCAGCTGTATCTACAACAACAGTAGCTGTAGCATGGAGACAGCAGAGGCTGACGCAGAAGCCAGTAACACGAGCAATAACTCTGATGCTTCTCCACCAAGACCAGTGGCAGAAGAAGGAACGGCAGCGGCAGTATCAGCAGGAGAGCTGTCTGCAGAGACATCCAAAGGGGCAGAGGCGGCAGCGGCAGCAGCAGCAGCAGCAGCAGCAGCAG